CCTCTGCGTTTTAACGAAAAAATTAATAAATAATGTTTGTGTAATTGTCTTTCTGTCTAAAACTTTCTGTCTAATCACCGTGTAATTTGCATAAATGTAACCTTGCGTTTGTTCCTTGTTATACAAATATAAATAGTAAGTGCGATAATAAATATCGTGAATGCAAAAATTTTGCTACTATCGTTCACTTTCCGCATGTATATGTGTGGAACGCGACACGTACTTAGCCGTCTAGATAAGTAATAATGCATTACAGCTATAGCTTATACATACACTCGAATTGCTTTTCCGTCGTAATTAATAATCGTTCTTCTTATAGAAAAAATAGCGATACGCAAGATCCGGAGAAGGCGACGCTGGTGGACTCGACGTTGCTTCCGAAAATCCAGCCGTCCGGGTTGCTCAATGATGAGAGGACGAATCTGGCGAACGGCACCATCCCAAACAGCGACCTTGAGAATGGTCAACCGCCCAGGGGTAGCACCATCAGACAAGTCTTGGCCGCCCTGGTTGCCCAGCTTGGTACCATCAACACGGGCATGGTATTTGGTTTCTCCGCTATCGCTTTGCCGCAGCTCCAGGAGCCAGACAGCATCATTCCCATCAAGGAGGGATCGACGGAAGAATCATGGATCGGTAGGTCGTTGAGAAGGATTTTTAATCTACATTCTTTCGAGATACTTTCTTCCCAGTCAACACCAACTAAAAATAACGTAACACCAATGTTATAATTTGCACTCAGCAATATAAATGTAATACAATTGGTGACTATATATCCTTTATAAAGGAAAGTTAATTATTTTAAGTAGCTGTCCTTTAGATTATTTTTTCAAAACTTAATTTTGTCCTATATTTTTACATTATGATGTCACATTATTGGTATATATTACTTTTAGTTGATTTCGATTGGATTTTTTTTTCTAATTTATTCTTACGGAAAAAATATATATTATTCTCATCGGTTTCTTTTTTTTCTCTCGCAGCTAGCATATCCTCTATTGGTACACCGATCGGCTGCTTGTTGTCCGGCTACATGATGGATATGCTCGGCAGAAAGCGTTCACTCATCATCACGGAGATCCCAGCGATACTTGGATGGCTGCTAATTACGTTCGCGACTGACATACGCATGATATATGCTGGTCGTTTCTTCGTCGGTCTAGGATCGGGCATGGTAGGTGCACCAGCCCGCGTTTACACGAGCGAGGTGACACAACCACATCTACGAGGAATGCTGATCGCGCTTGCCAGTGTCGGTGTCAGCACAGGGGTTCTGATAGAATATGCTCTAGGAAGTATAGCTACTTGGAACGTCTGCGCCGCCATCAGCGGCATTCTGCCACTTACCGCATTGGTGTTGATGTTCTTCTTTCCGGAGACCCCATCCTACCTCATATCGCGCAGCAAACCAGACCAGGCCAAGAAGGCGCTACAGAAATTCCGCGGAAGTACTTACAACGTGAATCAGGAATTGGAGACGTTGGTTGAGTTTTCTAACAAGAATAACATCAAACGACTCACTGGCTTCCGAGAAATTATGTGCGCTGTGCTAAAACCCAACGCTCTCAAACCTTTCGCTCTGCTGTTTCTGTATTTCTTGATATACCAATGGTCAGGCACCAACGTTATAACTTTTTACGCCGTCGAGATCTTCAAAGATTCGGGAGCAAGTATGAACAAGTACTTAGCGGCGGTTATACTGGGAATAGTCAGACTCACCTCTACTATCGTCGCTTGCGTCCTATGTAGAAGATGCGGTAGGAGACCACTCACAATGGTATCCTCCATTGGATGCGGACTTTCCATGATAGGATTAGGTGGATATATGTGGTTGAAAAATTACTGGATCGAAAATGATCTTCCATTCGTCGCCACATGGGTCCCAGTCATGTGCATATTCTTATACACCATCACTTGTACTTTGGGTTTCCTAGTGATTCCGTGGGTGATGATAGGCGAGGTTTATCCCGTACAAGTACGCGGTATTATCGGTGGACTGACTACTATGTGCGCGCATTCGTTTATCTTCATGGTAGTTAAAACTTATCCATTCCTGGCCAGTATACTCACTCGCCATGGTACATTCATTCTCTACGGTTGTATATCTTTGTTTGGCACGATATACTTCTACATATGCCTTCCAGAAACTAAAGATAGAACGTTACAAGAGATTGAGGACTATTTCTCTGGTAGAAATAATGCTTTGATGACCGACAGAATAAGTAATAAGCCAAAAGTTTTAGAAATTAAAAAAGGCCAGATATTACCGTGAAAGGGAGGATCATTTTTAATTATATAACTTTTACAATGTTGCTTATTTTAAAAGAATTATTTTAGTTAGAAAAAAAGCATTTGCTTGTTAGCAATTAAGAATGTTATCTACTTCTACAAGAACAATGAAATGGGCAAGTACTTTAAAACTTTGACGTTTGCTTTGTGACAAATATTCTTTAGTTAGAAGATAAAATATTTTTAGACGATGAAAAGATAAAACAAAATATAAAGATACGAGAAAAAAAAATATATATATACATGTTATAATTAAAATATTATCAAAGAAGTTTTTTAGAGACAAAATGTTATATTATTTTATAATATGTATTTGTTTACAAAGCATGAAAATGATTAATTATATGCAATTAGCAGACATTAACATTTTCATAATCTCAAACCACACACGAGATATTATTTGAACAAAGTAGCAAATTATAAATATAAATTTTAATTTTAATATCCCAATTTTCCTCCTGATGTAAAAAAACACCAGAGACCAATTATGTTTTAAATGACTTAATTAACAAAGTATGCATGAATAAAAGTGATGCTATTTATTAAATCATAGTATTAAACTGTAATGTAATAGGTGCTATGTGTAATGACAGTATCAATGGGAGTTATAAGCATAAGATAAATACGACATTGTAGAGAGCGTTCTACAATTTCGGAATTATTTTATAAATTGAAGGTATCTTGCATGCCAACTACTAATATTGTAAAACCAAATAAAAAGTTTCCAAATATATATTTATTAAAAAGAGCAGTAGATTAAGTATCATTCGTTATTATTATGTACAAAAAACCAAAATCGAATCGAATGAATGAAGATAAAGTTTCATTTGTATATCTATATAAATGCTTTAATACGATCGTTATATATGAAAGTTTTGATGAATGAATGATTGTATAAGTAACTTATTTTTTATAAGAAAGTAAATCTATTGTGCATTTAATCCTGTTTTTCTTAATTACCTCCTTATTTTCATGCTCGAATATTTATTTTTTGAATATAAATTACAAAAAGAACTATAATTACCATTCTAATAAAACTTTATTGCCAACTTATACATAAGTTATAAGGTTAAACGAGGTTTATTACGTTTAGCCTCCTTTCTTGCTCTTTTCTCATCCAAAAACTGTTTAATCATCTCAGCAGGTAAAATCTCACCTCTGAAAGTTCTTGGTAATATCTTCTTATTCAAGATACTTAATTTCTCATTGACATACTCCTTAGCATCAAATGCTTCAGCTTCCTTAACTTTGGCAGTTAGTTCAGCTTCAAACAATTTCTCTTTTTTCTGTCTTCTCTTTAGCCTTATCTTTTCCAATACAAATTTCATCTTCTTGCGGAACTTCTTTCGTTTGTGTTTCTTCATTTTCTTATGCCTGATTCTTATCATATTTACCGCCTGTTTCTCTATAATTCTCTCATTTGTAGGTAAATCTAGAGACTTTTCTAGCATAGGTGAATCATATTGAATGGGCAAACGGTTTATAGGCTCTTGCAATGGAGGAATCAAAGTGGTAGTAGGAATTTCAATAATATTTCTTATTAAATCTCTCGTAGGCATTCCAAAATCTATATTAAGTGTTCGCGGTATAAATTTTATTCTGTGTATCGATTCTGTACCACACTGCATGTAATTATTAGACGTTAAATGGAAAACTATGTTTGCATCACAGTTGGATTGTTGCGTCGAATACTTTGCAGCAGCAGCAGCAGCAGCAGCAGCAGCAGTACCTGAAATAGACAGGAATAGAGAAATTTAACATATTATTTATAAATATCTCATACATATTTAAAATATATAATAATTTAAACGATATGTTCTATTTTAATAATAGTCTAATATATAATATATATATTGTATATATACATATATCGCTCTTACTCCAAAAGTGATTCAAATAAAAGAACGTGATTTTCGAGTTATTATCATGAATTATTTAAGTAAACATTACCTTATCAATCATCAAAAATAGTTTAATGTCATAAAAAAATCGTCATAACTTAAAAAAGGGTTTTCTAAAGGTGGTAAAACGAAAATGATAAAATTGACATTTGATGTTATACTTTTTTTGCCGATATTATTCGATTAGTCAATAATTTTCTGTTAAATTAAAGAATAATTTTTTCCTTTTTTTGGGAGACTTAATTTTTTGAGTTATGCCACTTTTAAAGTAAGGAAATGATATATACATTTTTGCTTAAAAAGTAGATAGTAATACTAGGTTATAAGTAATTCACAATTATATAAATCAATTATTGAAGGTACATACTTATTCTGCCCACCGTAATTTTGCGAAATGTAGCGCATAATGTATTAATCGACATTGCAGTGAGTAAAGTTTTCACCGATAATATAAGTTTTCTCGAAATTACACAACATACATCGTGCATTCAACATACATTCTCCATGTTTTATTCTCGAATGTACTTAAAGTTGACTCGAATTCACAGATGGCGATATCGTCGCTTCGCAAATTCTTCACAATCGCTAATAAAATAAAATTATAATTCATTTATAGTTTGTCTAATCAGAAAAATATCAAATTAACTATAAAAAATAATTTTAATCAGGTAAGATGAAATATAAAAATTGTATGAAAGTGACGAAAAAGAACAATTGAAAGAGAAATCAATTTTTAAGATATTAAATAATATCAAGACATTAAAATAGTATTAAGGGTTTAATTTATTACGAGTTATTTATAAGTTTCTGTTTATATTTCTTAGACTTAATTACAACAATAATTATGAAATTTTTGTCGCACATATTGATATAAAAGATGAATGCATTTAATCCATTCGCGTTTTTACAGTCCTTTTCGTGACCTTATCCTTTTCTCTGAAACCAAATATATACATTTGATTCATGCAATGTATATTAATATAAGTATCAATTGCATCTGTGCTAATTCTATCGTGATACTTACATGATATAAACAACGGCACCCCATCCAGATATCGCGTCCCGATCGAACGCATTGACTAAAGCTTGGCTGACAGTCTCAAATAGCTCTTCAGGTCCCAAATTAGGCTCATAAAGCGACTCACACATGCCATAAAGTTGTTCCGTACACGTTCCACCTACCACAAAGTCCTCGGCTATATTTCTAGAACCTATTAGGTCCATGTTGCAGATGAATGGCTCAAATGTGACTGGATCCAGTCCGGCGACTATAGGTTCTACGAAATACGGCCCGAATCTCCTCTCATACAGGAGATTTGAGATCATAGCTGTGAATGTTTTTGGATGAATCTTTCGATTCTCCTTTAGCTCGTACAGATTCAGGCGAAAGCGTAACCTTTCCATGACTGTCTGGGTATCAGTGGCAAGACCGGGCAAGCTGACGTACAAGTGCGGTCCCATCTCATAAATCTTTTGAAAGTCGCACGTTATTGTCTGTGCCTGTATGCCGAATCTGCGATCGGCTGCTATGGCTACACAGTTCTTACCCTTCATGGCTATCACGGCGCCACCGTTATAAGCAAGGATGCTCTAAAAAAAAAAAAAGAGAAAATATGTTGAAATACAGCATATTCTTTAAATTCTTTAAAATGATATCTCATTCTAAAGAGTAAAGATTGAGCCAGTGTTAAAAAAAAATAACTCAATTATCAATCGAATCTTTAAGAGTCATATTTCATTCTTCAGAGATTTATTCTATAAATTTTAGAGAGTACACGAGAGAATTCTTCATATAACATAAACCTCCAAGGTTTTAAAGAAGTCCAGAAGACATCTCTATATCCTAAAAACTCAGGACATTCTTAAGCTAAGACTGATATTATATTTGTTGCATGATAAATTTTTCAAGCCTGTTGAGTGATTACTCTCCAAGTTCTTGGAATCTCAATTTTTAATCTTTAAGATTTCATTCTTCAGAAAAATTTTCATTTAAAAATTTTAGAAAGCAGGATAGAAGCATAAGGATGGACTAGGATAGAGAGATAAGATAGAAAGACACAAGAACTTCTGTGTTCTGCAGTTAATTAACATGCTTGAAAAATTTATTGTACAACATATGTAATATTAACCTTAAAGTGTGCTGAATGGGATGGGGTGGAAATTATAATTTGTCACAAAAGTACGTTGTCATTGGATATTGACAGCAACTTAACCTCTAATTGTAGATAAATACCGATTACTCTGTAGACTCGTAATTGTGATTACGAGAAATCCTACTAGGACACAATGCGACAAAATGCAAGAAATACTTTTTAATAAATAAACACTTACCATCTTTTCGTGCAAATATTTAACACCTCAAAATGCAAAACGTCAACCAGACAATCGGTCAGGACGCGACGAAATGCGAGTCACGACCATGAGTTATGAACGATATAGAAGCGTGAACGTATCGCGAGATTCGCGAGGTAAATGGAAAAAATTATCCAATTAAATAAAAGTGGGGAGAGGAAGCAACGTAACGAGTTTCACGTACAAATTTGTAATGTTTCATGCGATCATGTGATTTTTTAATCAATATGTAATCGTTTTATGAAAAAATTCATACATAAAAATCGAAATAAACAGGAAATAAAAAGCTCGAAATTATTATATTAACGCTCATTTATAATAGAAAATGATAAATTTGATTAGAAGCACTATGTTTTTATATTCATTATTAATTAATAGACAAAGATATATATGGTCAGATATTTTCTGAATGGAATGAAAGAAAAATTTAATATAGAAATGAAAAAGGATAATGCACATTTCTTTCTAAAAGCAAGGAATGCAATTATGCTTCTTTCTTTTCTCCCTATTTCTTTGTAGAAATTTAATACTTACTATAGTACTGATTAATTAATAACTTATTTTAAATAATAATTACAGTACTGATGTGTTAATAGTATAATTAAATTAAATAAATTATTAATTAATCAGTAGTTAACAGCCTAGTTAATACTAAAAATAAATGAATAACTTTCCAGTATTATTATTGTTATAACGATTACAGTTAACTGTTAATAAATATGCATTAATTGATGGCCACCAATATTAGATCAAATTCGCTATTAATTCTCAATAATATAAACATTAATAACAATAAGAACTACGAACCAGATTTCAATATATTTAAATTTCAATATATTTAAATTTTTAAATAGACGTTTTGACCTTATCGTCAAGTCATCTTCAATGTAAAAAATTAATTTTCTACATTGTATACACCGAAGATGACCTGATGGTAAGATCGAAATGTCTGTTTAAGGATGCTATTTTATTTATCTGTTTTTGTCGTACGACAAATGTGTGCAGGACAGAGAAGTCCTCTCTATCCTATAGCCAATCAACAAACTTGAAAAATTTGTCGTACAACACACAAATGAAATATCACCTAAAAATATAAATATATTGAAATCTGGTTCATAGCCCTTATTGTTATTAAAATGATAAAAGTTCTAATATTTGCTCACTTTTGTAATTTTCACCTCATTTCAAGGAACACAATCGACTCTCTGACGTCTGACTTTCTATCAGCCTCTCTCTTACTAGTGCTGTTTTCGCGCTTTTAATCTACCTATATAGATCCGTGGCCACGTGATTTATATATCGCTTTGTCAATGGCACGACGTCAGATCGAGACGTCGAGTGCCACACATATGACGGCGAATGAAAATCGTGCGTTGCGCGCTCGCGCACACGCACCAAGAGAGCATGGCCGCGCGATGTTATTGAGGATTCAACGCGCGAGCAGATACGGGAGTATACGGGAGTATACGGGAGGGTGCACTGGGAGTTGGAGTGTTTCGAGCAAGACTGTGATCGCGGTTAGGAGCGGACTCGGAGGGAACGACGATCATCAGTGACACGAGCGTGCGAGGGCAAAGTCGTAAGCGGAAGGAAAAAAAGGGAGCAGCGCGGAGCTGCGGACGGAAAATGCGCTCGGCGTATATTCGCCGCGAGTGCCATGCATCATCTCGTCGCGGCAGCGAGTGACTCGGGTCCCCGCCCCAAAAATAAACGGCCGGTACGTTTCGTCACCTCGTCGACCGAAGAACAGGAAAAGAAGGAACCACGCGAGCTCGTGTCTCGGTGATTCGCGTTTCCTCCCGCGCTTAAATTCTTTGGTTAGGGCCGACCCGCGGCACGCGGTCCATCTGGAGGAGCTGAGCGCCGAGCCAGTCAGCTGTGTCGTACTTGCCCCCCCAATGGCGGGTACACGCGTGTAGTCCCACGCGCGACGGTCCCCCGACTCCTCCACGTCCCAAGCTCTCGGAGGAAAAAACGACACGTCCCCCTTTGTTCGAATCGATATTTCGTAACGCGTGCACCGTGAGTACACGCTCGTAACAAATCGCACGCCTCCGTCAGCGGCGGCGTGGCAGTTACGCACCATTACATTCGAGATTTTCATTTCGAACGGACGATTGTTTACGTACTTATAAACTCGTCAAGGTTGTTTAGAGTTTGAAGATTCTCGCGGAGAGTGTCACCTTGCCGCGTAAAGTTACGAGTAGCGGGGAGATTTAGAACGGCCGTGAGATGTGTGTATGTGTATGTATACGCGTGTGGTGTATTTTACTTTTACGTTATTTTTAAACCGACGATGTACAAAACATACGAACAAAGCCGTGTAAACTCAGTCTCTCTCTCTCTCTGTACTCTGAAAGATTATTCTTGGGATGTATTCCTCGATTGGGATTACTTTTGTTTGAACACCAAGCGATTCATTGGTTCTTGTATAAGTCAAGCTTTTAACTACGTTTGAATGTGTGTCACAAATCCTGTATGTAAATAATATAAGTGACTTGACTATTTTGCAGGTTTATGGTATACAGTGAATGTACTTCTCTGTGAAATTAGTAAACTATTGTTATTGCAATCAAGTTATCAAAGGGTTTGTGAATCAAAGGGAAGGATGTCACTAAAACCCAAGAGAGTGGATTTTAATAAAACATGGCATGTACTGCAAGAGACTATCAAGGGAGTGATAACGTTAGCAAATATCCCACGTGCTATATGGAACGATAGATTTAGGTATGAAATCTGACAATTATTTTACATCTCATTAATGTAGGAAAGTGTATATTAAGTGTATATTATGATTGCAGCGATGTTTATTCTTTATGTGTTGCGTATCCTGAACCACTAGCAGACCGTTTGTATGACGAAACAAAGAGGTTTTTGATTAACCATGTAGATCATTTGCTAGTACAGGTCAACTCGTATAATGACAAGTGGGAGCTGCTTCCAGCGTATTATCGCGCTTGGACAGAGTACTCGCAAGGCATCGACTATTTGCATAGCTTGTACTTATACCTTAATCAACAACACATCAAAAAGCAAAAGCTCTCTGAAGCAGAACTTATCTATGGCACGAGTTTGCACAATAGAGAAGAAGAGTGCCAAGAGCAGATGGAGATTGGTGAACTTGGTTTGGACATTTGGAAGAAAAAGATGATAATACCACTTAAGAAAAAACTAGTTTCTCTTCTACTTACGTGTATCGACGCTGATAGAGATTCGAAATTACTTGCCCCGACCGATGTTATTTGTGGTGTCATAGAAAGTTTTGTTCGGGTAGAAGATCACAAGATGAAGGGAAAATTAAACGTAATTGATTACACAAATTTTTGTTTTTATAAGCAAAGAAAGTTTTTTTTTATTTTTAAGTTTCTATTAAATTATGTTTCCAGTTGTATCAAGAAATTTTTGAGGAACCTTTTTTGGAAGCTAGTGGAGAATTTTATACAGCGGAAGCATCATCGTTGTTGCAGCAATCAGACGTTACGCGTTATATAGAAAAAGTAACGTGGAGACTTGCTCAAGAGGAGGCACGCGCTTATAAATTTCTTCACAAGAGTTCTGTAGCAAAAGTACGTTATCGCGTTTTTCATCTATTTTAGAAGTAACTGTAGAATGGATATATACAACAGCAATATTCTGTTACAGGTCAGAGCATGTTGTGAAGATAAAATGGTAGCTGCACACGTAGATTTACTGCATTCAGAAGCAGAAATGATGATAAAGAATGAGAGCAGACGAGATTTGGCGCTTCTTTATCCATTATTAAGGTCTTTGCCAGGAGGTTTAGATCCACTTGTGCAACATCTTACTCGCCATATTACGCTGCAAGGATTACAAGCAATTGGACCTTTACAAGGAGAAAATGTGAATATATACAAAATATTTAAAAATACTAAAACATATAGATTTACGTAATTTTATAGAAAAAAACACGAATTTCCAATTTCAGGTATACATGCAATTTGTGGAGAATATGTTAAATGTACATTCAAAATATTCCGAAATGATTAAGGAAGTATTCAATTCAGATCAAAGTTTTGTAGGTGCTCTCGATAAAGCTTGTTCTGCCATAGTAAATTACAGGCCTGCTCCGAAGCAGCCAGTTCGAGCACCAGAATTGGTAAAAATCATTTAAATAGATATTTTCAGTAAATATAGATATTTTCAATTTAGGATACGGTTTCTATTGATAAGTTATATAATGCGTGTTTTTCACTTAGCTGGCGAGGTATTGCGACATCTTATTGAAAAAGTCTCCCAGGGCTGCCTCCGAAAGTGAAATCGAGGACAAACTGAAACGCTCCATAACAGTGTTCAAGTACGTGGATGATAAGGATGTGTTCCAAAAATTCTATTCGCGTATGTTGGCGAAGCGATTAATACATCAGCAGTCACAATCGATGGATGCCGAGGAGATGATGATCGATGACCTGAAACGGGCGTGTGGTTATGAGTTTACGAACAAGCTCCATCGCATGTTCACGGATATGTCCGTTTCAGCGGATCTCAACGCGAAGTTTATCACGACCTTACGGGAAGGCGACGGAGAGAATCAATTGGGTACCGGTTTCACAGTTAAAGTGTTGCAAGCTGGTGCTTGGCCACTTGGTCTACCACCTTCACCCGGCCCGTTCCACGTTCCACAACAACTGGAGAAATCCGTCCAGGCTTTCGAGGCGTTCTATCACATGCAGTTTAGTGGTCGGAAGCTTACGTGGCTGCATCATCTGAGTCAAGGCGAGCTCAAATTTAATTATTTGAAGAAACCGTATTTGGTCACTGTGCAAACGTATCAAATGGCGTTGCTGTTGCTTTTCGAGCATTGTGATACGATACCATGTAAAGAAGCGGCTGCCTCGTTACGTCTATCGCATGACCAGCTAATGAAGCATGCCGCTAGCCTTGTGGATTGTAAGATCCTCACTAAGTCCAACGACGGTGAATTGGAGGAGGATACTATTCTCACGCTCAATTTTAGTTACTCCAACAAGAGAACCAAGTTTCGCGTGACAGGGGTGTTACAGCGAGACGCGCCACAGGATGCGGAGGCCACACATCGCAGTGTAGATGAAGATAGGAAGATGTTCTTGCAGGCGGCTATAGTTCGTATCATGAAGAGTCGCAAGCTATTAAAACACAATCAGCTCATACAGGAGGTGAGTTGCGAGTTTCGAGAGTGTAATGCAAGCGCACATTAATTGCTGTATAGCGATGTTTAATATAATTCTATTGTTTCAGGTATTGAGTCAATCAAAAGTTACTTTCGCACCTTCTATCGGAATGATTAAAAAGTGCATTGAAACTCTGATAGATAAACAGTATATCGAACGTACGCCAAATAGCGCGGACGAGTACTCATACATTGCGTAACCTTTTAACGTCTGTCACTAATTTATTTCACTCGAGATGCATCCCAAACAGTTCTGTTAGAAGTTAACAGATCTCTCACCGACAAGGCTATATAATAAAAACTTTGTTTGTTGTTTGACTAATTACTTTCGGAAAAAAAATTTCGAGGATAATTAGTCATAAAAAAAGAGAAAAACACTATTGAAAAAAAGAAATGAGCTCTCAAATGATTTGAAAAAATCGGGAAAAGCATCTTAGCTCGCTTATTCGCTCTTAGGATCAATTAATTAATAAATACCTTAATTAATTTACTGACTTGTAACATATGCACACTGAATAAAAAGTTGACGTTACTATTTTATATTGGAGTAACACGTTTCGCAAAGAGTAATTTTGTACATAATATAAATATTTATTACTTTTCCTTTAATAGAATCTACTTATCCGAAAGAAACAGACACTCCATTATACATACATTTTTCCTCTTACAAAATGTACATACGACCATCTTTATGAATATGATCGCGACTTTTTTCATCGACGAATGATAGGTCGTTAATATATAATAAGGCCCCAAATGGTCATTCTTTAAATAATGTATGCATTCGTACAATCAATATAAAAATTTCAATTTCGTCATAAAAACTTCATTCGTTGTTCGACAAGCCTTCTTATGCTTTAGGCGCGCAATATATATTCTCTATGTTAAAATTATATTGCAAGTTATTTCAATTATAATATTAATCGCGTAACTTCTTTCTCAGAAAGCATGGAACGTCATTCAAATTATAAACAATATATACGAATATTCTTAATATTATTAGGAACGTGGAGGCTTTAATTGTAACAATTCAGGATCGAGCAGTGGATTATTGTCAGCTTCTGTCTCCGTTGGTTTGTTCATGTTGTTCACGATAAGAGATGATGCGCTATCTGTGTTGTTATAAGGAGAAAAACCTGCCCATTCCATGCCGAGATATATAGGACTACACGGTGATTCCAATAACAAGTGATCCGAGTGTTGCGATTGATGTTGCTGCACTTCTTGACAATTCGGTGGTAAGTGCGATGACGTCATATGAGTTGCGATTTTACATTGCTTTTCCTGCTTGCGCCATTTTGCTCTCCGATTTTGGAACCACACCTATTTGCAAGGAAATTAATAATGACACGAGTTCTTTTAACCAGATATACTCCAAGTATATACAATTCTATTAGCGAGACATGCAGAAATTACTTGTACTCTAGCTTCTGTCAGTTGGATACGAACTGCGAGTTCCTCCCGAAAGAAAACATCGGGATAATGGGTCTTCTGAAAAGCACGTTCCAACTCCTCCAGCTGAAAATTGGAAAATGTGGTACGATACCTACGTTGCTTCCTTTTGCCGATGACGCAGGATGGTCTCTCTTCGCTTTCAGGGCCAGTCGAGAAATCATATGCTACAAGAAGATACAGTTTATCCGTGACAATATTCTTTCGACAAAATCGTCTTGATATATGATATATAAGGATATCAGAATAAATAGCATCTGTTAGTCTCAGCGCGGTATGAGAATCCACGACGTAATTCGCTCAGATTTTATGCCGCAATGTTCCACAGGCACGTCGGAGCGATAAATGCTTCATAACTGTTAAACTGATTACTGCTAACTCTATTTAAGAAAAAGGGTTGACTGCGGATCCACTTAATGCACTTAGCAATAACTTAATTGAGCGACACTCTACCCCAACTTGGGATACCGTCAGCGGAGACAGAAGCGGTTAATTAAATCAGATCTAGGTTGGCACACGGTGTCGTGTACTTACTGAATTTTGCAGGGAAGCAGACGGAGGTGAATTGCGCGCCATCGATTAGACCAGTCAGGGCGGTCGACTGCAGATCGTCACTCTGATTGACGTCGTCGGAAACATTTGTCGACGATGCTACGATCGCACCGGCTGATACCAATGGATCGCGCGGTGTGCCGACCAGAAATAGTTGCCTGCCATTCTCGTTTCCGCTCTCGTCTTCATCGTTCAGATCCATTCCACGAGAACTTCTGGCTCCCTGAGGGAAGTCACCAAGTCGAGTATAATTGAATTAATCGCGCGCGAAACAAAGCGCGCGATACGATGTTGAAGTTCAATTAACAAGAAGTTTGTATTCAAGCTAACTGCGTAGTGATTCTTCGGCGTTTCCTCGTCCTCTTCTTCAGAGGTTTTTTTTCTTTTCCTTACACTTGTACAACGCGTATAGACGGAGTAGGGGACAGAGTATACTCAAAGTGAACTCCCTCAAGGGGTGTGGTGAAGCCTAAAAAATGTGTTGCTTGTACACCACTAATCAATAGCGTACGACTGTTATAGTATGTCCATATGATGAAGAAAGTTGTATATCTCTCGTTGATTTTATGATGAATCAACTTTGTATATTTACAATTGCGTTTTGCAATTTTATAATCGCGTTTTTATAACAACTAGTCTTTCCTTTGATTATTTGAGACTGAACAGCTTCACGTACACTGATAGTGAGAAGACGTATAGAGCTATATTAAAATTCTGATCTTTTTAAAATCAATATCAGTAAATATATGTATGGATCCTCCAGGCTGGAGGTTGGATATTAGGCTAATATCTAATTCTATTTAATTTTAAAAAAAAAAAAAAAAAAAAAAAAAAATATTGTACAAAAATTTTATGAGACATAGGCTTTGTTTCTTCTTGGAATATTGCACTATAGAATTATGAATGAATTATAATTCAATAGTATTTTTAAGACTTTATTAGCTCGCGATATAGTGTATTATAATACGTACAAAACTTATTATATTTATTCATACTTAATAAATAACAAATAAATTGTGCTTTAGCAATGCAAGTCACATTCTTACATTTTTCAGAGAGTGAAAAACGTATTTTAGACACATCAGCAAACATATTTTAGACCCTGTTTGAAAAATATTACTAATAAAATTTTGTATCGATTGCATAAATCTTTTTAAGAATGTAAATTTTTATAAAATTACGAGATTTATCAATATCGTCTTGTTAATATATGGATAAAAAGTATCTAATATCAAAGTTTTCATACTGAGTTCTACTTTCGTATAAGTTCTTTGTTCACTGTTCTCTCTGTTCTCTGTTCTATCGTTTGGAAATCGCCTTCGATGAAAACGAAACGGACTTGACTGGTAGACATTAAGAAATCGTCATCAAAGAATTTTGTTTCCATCACGAAACAAAATTATAAAAGATTGTCATCCAAATGTTTGTTTTTATTACGATGTTAATAACGACAACGCCATTGTGGAAACAAAATTTCGTTGATAATTTTTTAGTGTTTATCAAGTCCATTTGTTTTTCATTGAAGGCGATTTTCCAACGATCCTAATCGTATACAACACCAATCAACGTAAACAGAGAACTTATATATGAAAATAGAAGGACTCACGTGTAACGAACATTGTTGCGAAAGTTGAAGAATGTAAGAATTCTTACATATTATTATTTGCTGTGTAATGTATTATATGTAAAAAATTTATTATATTTATTCTGGAATAAATACAATAAGTTTTTAAAATTGTATTTATTTTACTTAATAAATAACAAATTGTTACATTAATATGCCTTGCATTGCTAAAGCACATAATAATTTATTTGTAATTTATCAAATGTAAATAAGTTTTGTATATATTATAATACACTACCGCGAACAATAAGGTTTTAAAAATACTATTAAATTATAATTTATTTATTCTATGCAACATCCCAAGAAGGGGCAGGTCCTACTTTTCATGAGGTTTTCGTAATGTATTTTTTCTGGAATTAAGCCAAGAGATTAAGCAAGGAATTGATAGCCTAACATCTTGCCTCCAGCCTAGAGGATCTTTACATATATCCAATGATATATGGAACTTACAGTTTAACGCCGAATCCGAACAGCGCTGGTGATCAAAGATCTCTTAATCACCAGATGGAGTCATTTTCGGCTCCTTAAACGCAAAAAATCGCTTATGTAAGCGCAGGTGAGATTGAATCCGAATCTACAGATCACGAGTCAATCACGGAACAGCAAGCCACTCAATGCCTCATTGAATTATAATATTTGTATTATTAATAAATCCTTTATATTAATGATTTTAAAAAGATCAGAATTTTTTAATATAGCTTTATACATGTCATTATCAGTGTATGTGAAGTTGTTACGTTTTCAGTTTCAAATAATCGAAGAAATGATCAATTGCATAAAAATGCGATTATAAAATTACAAAACGCAATTGTAAATACACAAAATTTATTCATCGTAAAGTCAACGAGATTTTTTACAAAATTTACATTCTTAGAGATTTACGCAATTGATACAAAATTAAAAGTTTTATCAGTATCATTTTCCAAAACAGAGCCAGATGAGTTTAAAATTATGTTTATTAATGATATTTATTATTATGTTAATTTATGATATTTATCAATATCGTCTTGGTTAATATATACATAGCAAGTATCTAATATCAAAGGATGAAAAACATTCAGTTTGTAAGAAATTTTGCACACGTGCGTTGTTATATTTTTGTATAGAATCTCTGTCCACATTGATAGGTCCCGTGTTATGTTCAATTAGAACCGTTTGGAAATCGCTTTACTATTAAACACAGAAGAGCCAGACTCGACTGATAGACACTAAGAAATTGTCGTCAAAGAATTTTGTTTCTATTACGACATTGCCACTATTTGTAAAGGAAAATATACACAATTAATCAATGGATGAGCGATAAAACACCAAGAATGTGTCTTTACTTACTTTAATATATTCGCTGATATCATCGGACTCTCTGGCGATGCCAGGATCGAGCTCTTCCATGTAATAGAGGTAAGGTTCGGCCCAAATTCAAAAAATAATTCTTCTAGGCAATGCTCTTTGAAGAGTACCTTCTGTTTTAGGCAAAATCTCTCCATTTTTTCTGCAGAGCTGAAATTTATCTTCCTTTGTACCTTACGACATTGTAGGATCTTTTTCGTTACATGTGCTTCATGTTCTACATCAGGTGCAGACCTACAATCAAGCAAAGAACGAAGGATTCAATCTATCATCCTTCAATGATGTATCTGGAAAATCAGCCTTACTCACAAGTCTTTGTTACTCTTCCAGAGAATTTCTTCACTGTTGGCGTCGCATAGTTCCATCCAATTACTGATGGAATCATAATTAAGGAAATACATTTGTTCATATAAATTCACTTTGTTGTCAAACCGATCGTTCTTTGTTCGACCGCTACACTGTTATAATATTAACGTTTTAAATAAAATAAAATTAACGTTTAAAATAAAATAATATTAAGTAAAAATCGAGAAATGTTCAACACAAGAAGCCCTCGATCAAAACAAATCTTGGTGTCCAATATTTTAAATTTTATAATTTTGAAATAAAGTAAACATATGAATAGTTATCAGAGAGAAAAAAAATGAAAAGGAACGGCTACAAAAAACATATTTCAGAAATGTTCAGTTTGATATTCCCTTCTAACCTAAACATTTTTATGTAATCGTGTAACAGTTGGGGTTAAATTAAATCTTAAATCAAAGGATACATCTGGAAACCTTTGAAAATATCCTTCTCCTGAGTCGATAGTCCCATACTTAAGCACGATTACAGAACAGACGGAATTGACACGATTATACAAAACGGAAAACGACGCGCGAACTGATGACTACGTTCACACGATTCGATTTACGCTGAAATTATAACATCGATGTTATAAAAATGGCCAATCATAGCATGTTCCTGAAGAATGGAATGACTGTAATTGGCAAATTTCTTAACATTGATGTTTTAACTTCGGTGTAAATTGATCCGTGTAAACGTAAACATTGATCCTTGTCTGCGATCTCCTAAGCACTTTGAATTGTAAACACTGGCGAGCGCAAACGTTCCAGTCATGGTCAAAAAAATTAACAGGAACCGAAAGAAACCAAAGTATGAGCGAATAGGGATCTTCTAGTAAGGAATGAGAACTCGTGCGCAAGCTACAGATTGGTCGTCGTCGTTCGAAGGACACATTCGTGCTTCGAACGAAAAGTGCTCGTGATTTATTGCGAGCATTTTCGGCCCGAAACTGGGTTTGCACATTTTGGAAAAAAATCTATTACAAAAACCTCATGAGAGGTAGACTCTGTCCCATCTTGGGATGTTGCGCCATGGAATGAAAATTATAAAAATATAGAATATACATAAAATGTAGTAATTTTTTTTTAAACTTTATTGTTCGTGATGTAATGTATTATATGCACAAAACTATTATATGTACAAAACTTATTGCATTTATTTACTTAATAAATAACAAATAAATTATGTGCTTTAACAGTGCAAGTCATATCCTCAAGAGTGAATCCCTCATCTTTCAAGAGTGAAAAACATATTTTAAACACATTAGGCCCTGTTTGAAAAATTGTACTGTTAATATTTTGCATGAATCTAAGAATAAATTTTTACAAAATTACAAGATTTATTATCAATATCATCTAGTTAATGTATGCATAAGAAGTGTCTAATATTAAAGAATGAAAAATGTTCAGTTTGTAAGAAATTTTTCACACGTGCGTTGTTTCTATTTTTGTATAGGGTCTCTGTTTATGTTGATTGGTCCCGTGTTATGTACGATTAGGACCGTTTAGAAATCGCCTTAGACGTAGAAGAGACGGACTCGACTGGTAGACACTAAGAGATCGTCGTCAAAGAATTTTGTTTCTATTACGACGTTGCCGCTATTTGTAAAGGAAACCATACAAAATTAATCAACAGATAAGCGATAAAACTCCAAGGATGTGTCTCTACTTACTTTAGTATATTTGCCGGCATCATTTGACTTTCTGGTGCCGCCTGGATCAAGCTCTGCCACGTGTTAGTGCTGTTGGGAATAACAAATCCAAATTCAAAGAACCACTCTTCTAGGCAGCGCCCTTTGAACAGTACTTTCTGTTCTAGGCGAAACCTTTCCATTGGTTCTGCAGAGCTAAAGTTTATCTCCCTTGATACTGCACGACATCGCAGGATTTTTTTTGGTACACGTGCTTCATGTTCTATGTCAGGTACAGATCTATAATCAAGCAAAGAACCAAGCATTCAACATCTATTATCTTTCAATGATGTACTTGGAAAATCAGTCTTACTCACAAGTCTTCATTACCCTGCCAGAGAATTTTCCCACTGTCGGCATCGCGTAGATTCATCCAATTACTGATGGAATAATAATTAAGGAGATACATTTGTTCATATAAATTCACTTGTTGTCAAACCAACGTTCTAAAAAGACCGTTCTTTGTAGATACACCATTATAATATTAACGTTTTAAATAAAATAAGTAATACCAAGGTCCAGTTTCACTCAAGATTAACTCTTAATCGAGGTTCAATTTATTCATTATCTCTTTTCAATTCTAGAATTGGAAAGAGGTGAGAAATAAGTTGAACCTCTATTAAGAATTAATCATAAGTGAAAATGGGCCTGTGAAAGTCGACAAAGAAATGTCCAATACAATGAAGCAAAGAGGCTCTATTCAATCAAGAAAGATTCTGGTGCCTAATAATATTTTTAATTTTAGTTTTGAAATAAAGTTCGGATTTGATCTTTCGTTCTAACCTAAAAACTACCAGATGATTAATTGCGCTTAAATTACATCATAAATTAAAGGATACACTTGGAAACCTTTGAGGATATCCTCCCCGCGAGACGGCATACTTAGGCACGATCACAGAACAAATGGAATTAATGCGATTACACAAAATGGAAAACGACGTACAAACTATTGATCCTCCATGTCTCCGAATCACTTTGAATTGTAAACACAACATTGATGAGCATTGACACGATGGCGCAGGCGTACTGAAGTCTGTTCGCATTGCTCGCACTTTTTGCACTCGGCATCTTTGCTCTTTCTCTTTTTAAAGCCAAATATATATCTATCTCATTTTAAGTGCAAATATATTTGGAGATTTTCTGCAACGCGAACAAACCGAATGTCAACAAAAAATAGCTGAATAGAACTGAAAGAAACTAGAGATCCGTTATGCCCATTTCTACCAACATAGATTAATTTTAATTTCGATTCAACTTTATTCTGTCTTTTTCTAAAAATTAGAAAAATTAAAATTAATCTATGTTGGTAGAAATGGGGTAGAAATGAGATGGCCTATATTTCTTTCTCGTTCGAAGAAATTTGACGAAATCCTGATGGCCAATTTTTGATTAAAAGATTTCTATGTACGGATAATTTTTAAAGTCACTAGATTAACAAAGTACCACGATGAGAAAATTCATTGAATTAATATTTGGAGCCAAAATGGCGTTGAAATGTTATTCTAACCTGATTCTGTTGAAGTTTTGAATAACCGCGCGTCATGGAGCCTAAATGGTGGCAGTTCGTGGTACTTTGTTAATCTAGTCTACTTTAGATAATTTCGTTGGTAACAGGAAGAAGGTCAGCATGAGCTCTCTTAGGTTTCTCTCTGACGTAGTCTATGGTCTGGTTCAAACTCAACTACACTCGAAAACGCTACAAGTGCAATAAGTGCAAGTAATGTAAACAGGCTCTCCTTTCATTATGGAATACAGAGATAGGAATCAATAAACAAAAAGAAGAGAAGAGGTTTCTGCTAGAAATCATTTTTAATAAAATATAATCCATGGTAGCATAACTATAGAAAATCATGGCGATGTTCGAAGGGTTAAGGAAAGACTATAGCGTAAGTACAACGTTTGAAATAAGTCTTATTCTATTCACAAATTTTTATTTATAACTATACATTGTTTACAAAACGTCTTAATTTTCTTCTCACAGGATTATTTGCAGCAATATTTCAAGCTGTCGGACGTCTCGTTATTTCAAAAAAAGTGCATTGAACGTTGTGCAAATGACAGTGACAGAAAAGCGGCGATCGATCAGGCGCTTCGAGATACCTTGCTAGTCGTACTGACGGAAAATGCTTCGGGTAACGTGCGTTCCCTCGAATCATATATCACGTTCTGTATAGAACTATGCAGAAAGGATCTTGCGACAGCGAGTATGCCAGTGATGCTACTGGGTGATATCTTTGATTCAATGACACTTGATAGATGTGAACAGTTATTTACTTTTGTGGAGAATAATGTCACTGTATGGAAAGAAGAATTGTTTTTTACTGCCTGTAAAAATAACTTGTTGAGAATGTGCAACGATCTCCTAAGGAGATTGTCACGTTCACAGCAAACTGTATTTTGTGGTAGAATTCTGTTGTTCCTAGCAAAGTTCTTTCCTTTCTCTGAGAGATCTGGCTTGAATATTGTTAGCGAATTTAATCTGGAAAATCAGACAGAATTTGGCTTGGAGAAAGCAGAGGAAGATGATTTAGAGCAGATAACTAAGGATGATGACAAGTCAGAAAGCAAGATACCAATTGATTATAATTTGTATAGAAAATTTTGGGCACTACAAGATTTCTTCAGAAATCCAAATCAATGTTATAATAAAATGCACTGGAAGGTCTTTTCAGCTGTAAGTTGTTATCTTCCAATAGTTTCTCTAAACAGTAATATAGCCTGATATTCATAGTTGGTTTTTATTTTAGAAATGTCTTAATATGACTTTGTGATTGTCTTATGATAGTTTAAGATCGTAATTAAGTATAAGACTATAAATATCAGCTATAAACTTGTAGAAAATTTATAAATAATATATAATAATACATTATTTATAGCATGCGTCTAATGTGCTATCAGCATTTGCTTCTTTTAAATTGGAAGAGCAACGTAGTTATCCTTCTACGTGCATCAAGATGGATACTTCTATGGAAGACTCCCACAAAGAGACGCATTATTTTGCTAAATATTTGACCAATCAAAAATTACTGGAGTTGCAACTGTCAGACTCCAATTTCAGACGATATGTATTGCTGCAATTTCTCATTCTTTTCCAGTATCTGAATAGCACTGTAAAATTTAAGGCGTAAGTATTCTCTGTATTAAAATGGATATTTTATAATGAATTTACAAGCCTCATACTTTTGAATTAACAAATTCTTTGGTAATTAGTGAAATGCCTCTGAATAGTCATAAAAATGTTTGTTTTTCAAAGCTTCCTTGCCAGTGGCTATGAGACAAGGTCTGCTTTCCTTAAATTAAATGTCTCGTGATATATACATTATCGAATCTCTATGATATTTGTTACTTTTAAGTGAGACACACGAACTCAAGCCGGATCAAGTGGAATGGGTGAAGACTATTACTGAACAAGTTTATACTCTACTGACTGAAACACCACCTGACGGTCCCACGTTCGCGGAGACTGTGAAGAACATCTTGAAACGCGAAGAGCATTGGAATACATGGAAGAATGAAGGTTGTCCACCATTCAAACGACCAGCATCGGATGTCAGTGACGAAGAGCCACGAAAACCAAGAAGACCTAAACGACGTATCGGTGATGTAATTAGAGATGCACAAACGGTTGGCAAATATCACATGGGAAAGTAAATAGCTTTTAAAAATGAAGTGAATTAACATTTGCATAGAAAATTGAATAATTACATTTACATTATTCTTCAACAGTCCAGAACTTACTAAATTATGGAATTTATGTCCGAACAATCTCGAGGCATGCAAATCTAAGGATAGAGATTTTCTGCCGTCTTTAGAAACATATTTTGAAGATGCCATAATGGAATTGGATCCTGCTGCAATGGTCGATGATAAATACAAGTAAGTGTCGTTATCGTTTATATTTATTTTTGTTATCGGAATATTTATTTTTGTTGTGATAATGTATTGGTTTATTGTTTCCCAAATTGATTACAATTTACCTAATATTCTTCTTTTATTAATAATAATCTTTAACTTTCCAATCAATCTCTTTCTGAGGCAATATTTGAGACGGGTCGGGATTAAATCCAAGATCCAAGATTGATTAAGAGTCAATCACTCATAGAAAAACACGCCTCATCCCTCATTGTGATTATTAATATTAATAAAATAATTTTATATTTATAGGAAGGTGAACGATGGTAATTTTGGTTGGAGAGCGTTAAGACTGTTAGCGAGACGAAGCCCGCATTTCTTTGTTCACGGAAATTATCCTATAAATAAATTGCCTGAATATCTTGAAACGATGATTAAGAAGATTGCCAAAGATCGTCCAGTGAGTTATTTTCCTATGAATATACTTAATCTTAATGTTTCTTAATTTTTTACTATGTTCCGTAGCAGACACAGTCCGATACGAAATTGGAAACTGAGGAGACACCGCCATCAGAATCTACCGATCAAGAATTCAATGAAGACGTCTTGAAACAGGAAAGTGAGCAGGTTGATGCTGAAAGTGCTGATATAAAAGCCAGAAAATTGAACAAAGTCACACCGGAAATGGTAGCAAAATTATCGGAAAGTTTAAAAAATGATTGGAAAAAATTAGCGATAAAATTTGGTTATACAAATGATGAGGTATATAAATATATATCAAATTTAGTATAATACACTATTATTTATAATTACAGAATTTTAATATATTATATGTGTTTTAGATTGCTTTCTTCCAAAGCAAAACAACGCCATATGAACAATGTAAAACTATGCTTGAAATCTGGGCGGAAGAGGATGAAGATGCATCAGTTGAAAATTTAGTTTATATTTTAGAAGGTTTAAAATATACAGAGGCATTAGCCGTTCTAAAATCTTAAGTATATTCTTAAATATATTCTTTAATTTGAATAAAAATAATTGAACAATTGAACAATTTAATTGAATAAAAATAACAATTGTATTAATCGTAAGCAAAACTATATTATATTGTAACATTTGTAATAAAATTTTTAATCTATTATATACATGTGTTTTAAATTAAATAAACCAACTGTTTTGGTTAATTTGAATTTTAACTTTAATTTGGATTAAGAAAATATTATGTTAAGATATAAAGCATAAACGTTATTTTTCACTACTAGTTTTTTGTCTGTTATAGTTGCATATTACACAATTTAATTGCTATATAAATTTAAATAATTTTTTTCGAATGAAAAAACCGCGCGTACGAAAGAGAGAAAGAAAGAGAGAGAGAGAGAGAGAGAGAGATTATACAACCGAAAAAAGAAATAGAGCAAATGATATTTATATTTGTAAAAATTCACAGGCTATAAATATAAAAATAAAGGAAATGTACATACATATCAATATTATAATGTTGTATGTGTAGTATCGACCTATTCTTTTACTATGATAATTGTATAATTATATATTGCAAATAGCATAACACGTCACGTCAAAATTTAAATCGGAAATCTATTCATCTTTTTTATCCTTCGTATGTAAAATCTCATAAATCTTACAAAAATGTTGAACAAAATATTGTTATTTATTGTGACTTAGCAAAGCAGAAAATATTTCATTTTCGTCGCGAATTTTAATTATTTGTTTTTCAATTTTAGATTAGAGCTTCCGCTGATAAGGCGCCTTTATGCAAAAGAGATTTTGCCGCTTTTCTCAATATTTTTATCTATCAATTTTTTAAATAAGCTATTCCTAAATAATGTTTTAAATATTTTTAAGAAAGGCGCAATTTTTCATTTTTGTATCAGGACATTGTAACTTTTTTCTCTAGACGGAAATACAAATTTTTATCATTGAAGTTAATATATGTATAAGAGCAATTTTTCACTTTTCACGTTTTCGCTTTAACAAAAATATTACATAAACAAAATCCTGGCTAAAATAATGGCTTAGTATGGCACTGTATGTATGAAAAAATTTTAGTAGTCAAGAAATAAACATCTATTCGATTTAGATTTCGTGATGGTTTCTTTAAATCG